ATCGTTTTATCTTAGTGGCTATAGACTACTTCACCAAATGGGTTGAAGCTGCCTCTTATGCTAATGTCACAAAAGGAGCAGTATGCAGATTTCTAAAAAGAGAAATCATTTGTAGATATGGAACACCTGAAAGGATCATCACAGATAATGCATTGAATTTGAACAACGATTTAATGAAGGAAGTTTGCACAAAGTTAAAGATCAAACATCACAATTCGGCTCCTTATCGCCCAAAAATGAATGGGGCAGTAGAGGCAGCGAATAAAAACATCAAGAAGATCATCACAAAAGCAACTGAAACATATAGGGACTGGCATGAAAAATTACCTTTTGCGTTGCTTGCTTATCGCACGTCCGTTCGTACATCTACTGGGGTAACACCATTCTCTTTGGTATATGGGATGGAAGCAGTTTTACCTGTTGAGGTGGAAATACCTTCTTTGAGAGTATTGATGGAGTTGAAACTGGACGAGGCTGATTGGGTACAAAGTAGGTTTGATCAATTAAATTTGATTGAGGAGAAAAGGCTGAGAGCTATCTGCCATGGCCAAATGTACCAGAAAAGGATGATACGAGCATATGACAAGAAAGTCAGACCTCGAGAATTTCGTGAAGGCGATTTGGTACTAAAAAAGATCCTACCTATGCAAAAAGACTTTCGAGGGAAGTGGATGCCGAACTGGGAAGGTCCCTATGTTGTAAAAAAGGCATTCTCAGGAGGAGCTTTGGTGTTAACAGAAATGGATGGAGAAGATTTGCCTAATCCCGTGAATTCAGATTCGGTCAAACGATATTACACTTAAAAAAAAAAGGGAATGAAAAAAATGAAAAATGAAAAAGAAGAAAAAATAAATAAAGGAGGGTTCAAGATGAAAACCCAAAATGGGCATCTTGAAACCAAAGGAGGATTCGAGTTGAAATGGCGGATTCCCTCGGAAGCTTGACAGTTCAGGGAAAGACTTTCATGCTCACACATCTTTTGTACGATCTGAATCTTCGAAACACATGTCAACTTTCAAGAAAGATTTGGAGTGAAGAAGTAAAAGGATTCATCATTTGATATTCACTATATTTGTCCATTGTTCTTCCTTTGTATATACTTGTTTTCTTGTCCCAAAAGATTGTACTTTCTCATTACTTATCTTCAGTGAAATTTTTGAATTTGATTCAATGTCCTCGCATATATTCACCAAATTACTAATCAATAACATCGGTTATTATGCCTTACTCTGAAAAGTGTCAGAGTATGGGGATTTTGAAACAGGTGTTCGCCAGAGAGCACATACAAAGACACGCTCCCATCAATCATTAAACAAATCATTGAGAAAAAAAGAGGGTTTAAATTAAAGAAATCAGTTTCAACATAATCATACTTTTCCCAAGCAAAGAAGTCCCAATTTAAAGGCATGCAACAAGGAAAGGCCATTCTGAATGAATTTTCTCTGAAAAAATCAATCAATGACCAAAGAATCGAAGAGGCAAGATAAACTCTCTCGGGGTAGATCAGAAGGACCCAAGTCAAAGAATATTTAATGAGAGGTCAAGGAAGTAACCAGGCATGGACAAACACATAAATATCGCATATTCCGGTCAAAGAGTATGAGAGATTCCCAATGCCAGGATCGAACTGAGCATAACCCTTTAAACATTCATTTAGATCATTCTTAGAGCATATTGACAGCACGAAATCATGTCATATGACCATTTTTTTAACAGGGTTTTCAAGATCTATTTCATTAGCAAAGCAATGAATCAGTCAACATCAGCTGACCAGATCTCCTCATCACGTAGGAGCAACGTCAACATTAGATAACCAGCCATCCTCATCGCGTAGGAACCAAGTTATCACCCTTCCTAAAGATGGCCAAGAACTCTTCATCACGCATGAGTCGTGTCATCCTTCGACCAGATTTCCTCATCACGTAGGAACCGTGTCACCCTTAGATAACCAGCCGTCCTCATCACGTAGGAACCGTGTTATCACCTTTAGATGGCCAAGAACTCTTCATCATGTATGAGTAATGTCATCCCCTGACCAGAACTCTTCATCACGTATGAGCCGTGTCAACCTCAGATAACCAGCCGTCCCCAGCAGAGTGGAACCATGTTATCATCTTTCCTAAAGATGGCCAAGATTCTCTTCATCGCGGATGAGCAGTGTCGTCTTCAACATCAAACATACCAGATCTCTTCATCACGAAGGAGCAGTGTCACCCTCAGACAATCTGACTTCCTCATCACAAAGGAACAACATCGTAATCGAAAACGACACGATCTAATCATCGCGGATGAGCAGTGTCGTCTTCAGCAACAAATTACCTCCAAAAGAATGTGTCATCAATAAACAACGATTAATCGAAGAAATGAGAGCCGATCAAAGAAGAGCTTGAGACTTGTTGACAATCCAAAAATTGGTATTTTATGTCTTTGCTCTATTCCTGTTCTCACAGCAATGAGCAAAGAGGGGCAGCTGTAGTAACCAATTTTTGGTCCCTACATAGCTTCCATACATTGATGTCCCCCATGCACAACCCATGCCCTGCTCCACAGCACCCCACGCCAACACCACACCTCACCCATGCCCTGCTACATTTACTGCAACATGTCAGCTCCCTTAAATCATGGCACCAAACACATCAACAAGAAGCAACATCAAATTTATATTAGTATTTGTAATGGGTATATAAAAGAACCCAACCAAACTATGTACAGGGAGGGGGAAAAATCGATTAAAAGAAAGCTGTAACAAGAACCCTTTTTAGTAATCGAAAGCAGAACAGAAAATCAAAAAAAAACAGATCGAAATCTTCAAGCAAGCAAAGGTATTCTAGCCCTTTTCTTTACATGCTTGTTTATCTGTTAAATTCATGCAATGTAACCAAATATAGTTTAGATTGTAATTTTGTTCTTTATTTTCATGTATTTATACGTTTAAAAATTAATTAAGATAGATAGAGAGTTAGGTTACCTTGTTTTGGTGTTCGTCGGGAAATTGGTGTCATCGGAGAGAGGGTGGCATGGTTTGTTGGTCGGAGCCACCGCGTAAGGTGTTGGTTCGTTGTTTAGTTCTCGATCGAGGGGGGTGGAGTGAGTTGAGATTAGGGGCTGTCTTAGTGGTGTTCCCATACCTTGTAGGTCTCGGTTGAAGTAGAGTGGCCACCCATTAGGGTGGCCGAGGTGGCGCGGGTTTTGGGACTTCAAGGTCCCCAACCGTGAGTGGAAGAGAAGCCAAGGAGATGTGTGTTGTGAGAGGAAGAAGATAAGCAGGGAATGTTAAAGTCTCGCATAAATTGAATCAGGGGAAAAGGAATTGTTTTTGTATCAATTTTGGTTTAATCACACATAGCGTCACTTATCTTCTTGCCATTCTTTATATTGGTCTATAAAAGTTTTAGTTTATTTATGTTTAAGCCACTTCATTATCTCATTTTTTAGATCAGTCACCAAATTTGTGCAGTTAATCACGCTTAGGCCCCTGTACATTTGAGCGTTTCTATAAACTGGTCATTGATTTGTTTGGGCAAAATTACGTTAAACCCCTAATACATTATCGTGTCTCACATTTTAGTTCCCCGGTTTCCTTTGTTCTGTTTATTTCATTTTTGGCACTTTAGTTTTATTATCTTTAATTTGGTCACTCGCTATATATTATTTACTTGTTTTGATTTATTCCGACTGTTGTTATTATTTTTATTCTGGTCACCTCTTTATTAGTTTTGCTTATTATTTTCATGTTATGATTTATTTCACTTTGCCATATTTATGTTTGTATTTGTCTAGTATTATTTGTATGTAAATTACATATTGTATCAAAAATAAATTTATTTACTAAGTACTTTTAATGCTTGTACACACATGTATGTCATCGTTTCTAATCTTAGCCTATTTATTTATTGATTGGTTATTATTTATTCACTACTTAATTTCACTAGAATATTTTCAAGAACAACGATTTGTAGAATGGGTGTGGAAAGCATCGCTTGGTCGAAGTGATGCAATCCTATACGACGTTCAAACAGAATATGATATAAAAAAAAAAAAAAACGCAAATTCTTCCTTTTACGAGCTTATAAAAATTATTTTTATTGTTATTCCTTTTTTTGTTATTTTATTTGATGTTCATATTGTTTAATATTTAAATTTTAATCTTTATTATTATTTCTTCATTAAATCTTAATATGAGTGATGTATGTTTTGGAAAAATAAAATATGATGCATTTTATGTCAATTTTTGATATTATTTTTTATTTAAAGAGAAAATATTCTTTACAAATAAGAAATAGACGAGGTAGCTTTCCCGACGGAGGATTGCAAATCTCGGATTTCTTGTCGAGAAAAGGGTTTTTTTTCTTTTATTTTAACTAATATTCAACGAATAGATCTTAGTTGATATATCATTTTTATAATTCTTATTGTATTAATGATCTCTATGTTAATATTAACAATACATGTTTTAGATAAATTAAGTATAATTTATTTTATACTCTTGTCGATATTATTTGGTAGTAATTCAAAGATAGAATATACTTTATAGATGAGAAATAGATGAGATAGCTTTCCCGTTGGAGGATTGCAAATCTTGAGATTTCTTACCAAGTGAAGTATTTCTATTATTTTAACAAATATTCAATAAATAAATCATATTTTTACTTCTGATTCAAACTTTAAATTCTATCATTTACGACGATATATAAGCGACTAAGTACCGATTTTGGGCGTTGTGAGGGGTGTTTATCCTTCCCCACATGTAACCGACTCCCGAACCTGTTTTAAATGAATCTTTGGTAACGTAGATCAAATTTTTGTCTTATAAAACTATTTTTCTTAAAATTGTTTTAAAAGACGTTTTTAGGTATTCGACCTACCTAACCCAAAGGTCGATGGCGACTCATTTTCAATTTAATTTTAATTAATCCATAATCACCAATTTTTTTATTAAAGTCATAATCGTTTTTAAAATAATATTTAATTGTTTTATCTAAAAATGGTTATGACAGAGCCGTTGTAGCAGAGTCGGTTGAGACAATTGGCGACGAATGAGTGAGAGTTGCATGTGAAGAGGTTGTAGCTCTTGTGCTCAAAGTAGCGCACACTCGACCGCAACGCATCGTCCCATGTGATCGCTGTCCCGTACTCGGAATGCTGGTAACCTTGCTTGCATGTGTGCCCGGACATGTTCAGAGGAAAGCAACACTGATTCAACAATAAAAGTAGTTAATGACAAAAATTAACTCACAAAACAATCTGTCTTTGTGTGCATCAAGAGACGTAAAAAAGGTTTGACTCGTGTCTGCATAAAACTATACCTTTTCTCTATCAAGTTGAACATATCGAGCTGTGACACCGAAAGAGAATTCATCAACATTCACAAAATTCGATCCTGAAAAGTCGAGAATAGCTCCATCCTCCCTGCAAATGCCAAGATGTCCAATGAAGGGTGCCAACCATGAGACAACAGGGAGAGGAGTCCAAACTAGACAGCAAGGGAACTTTGCATTCCTTGAATCAATTTCATCTAATGGCCACAGTTCATGCTGAATTTTAGAAGTAGAACTCATAAGTTCAACATCATAAGCTTGTTTTAAATCCATTATAGGAAGTCTTCCTCGTGACATACGGATCGTTGAAGTTCTCGATGATGAACTATCACTAATTCACTATTTCAAGTGGCACTCTCAGAAGATGATGGCAACAATCTACTCATACAGATGATAGTATCATTCTACAAAAAGAACCAATGTTACCTTAGAAAGAAGGTCAAAATTAGATATATATGACTATCTCCGAATACATGGAAAAAGCTTTTAATCGAACCCGTTGTTGACGCATATCCAACTCCGGATAACGGGCGCTGAATAACATAGAATCTAAGCATACATATCGAATCTTCGTGTAAACTTACAGTCCATCAATAACCGAAAAACAATCTATAGCCTAAATGAAAATTCATTCAATTCCTAAATTCTGAAATCCTTTCTTTAAAATGATCACCTGGGTTCTGGGAAAATATCAAAGAGCAGAAAGGGGTAAAAACAAACATATCAATATCTACAATTATCCAAATAATATAATCTACTTCATAGCATGCATTCAATTTTCAGTGCATCAGATCCCGTTCCATCAGCCAAAATAATCATATTTAAACACTAAACTGCTCCATTATTATTACAGCAAAATATAGCTTTCTTACTACCACATTCTCTACCTAACATTCATGAATTCAAACTACTCGAAAACACTAATCTAAGTTCAATTCCCATATGTTCAGATTAACTTTTCAGCCCAAACAAGCAAGACCCAGAAAAAAGGAATCATAATGCATTAAAACAAAACAAAATCTTTAAATCTACGTAATGCATATTCAATCTAGAAAAAGAACAGATCGAAACATAAGGGGGAAACTGGAAAATTTGGAGAAATGATGAAAGCTGAGAGTTTCACTAACCTAAAGCTTATTGCTTTGACACAAAAACAAAAACAAAACGGAAAGTTGAACAAAAGGAAATGATAAATGAAGGGAATTCCTTGAGGGATTTGATTGCTGTTGGTGTAGTTCAATTTGGAGAAGCAAGCAAATAAGTGGTTTATATATTGTGAGAGAACTAGAAGAAAATAAATTAGGGGAAAAATCAAAAGAAAAGTAAATAAATAAACAACATTATTACTGAAATACGTTTGCTTGAATTGGAAATGAAAGAAGGTGCATGAACCTGAAGCGTTTCCAGATTTTTTATTACCTGGGGAGGGTGGGACAGTATTTGTTGTATCATACTACCTGGTTGATATCAAGACTGGATCCGTTAAAGTACTTGATGGAATCAATGGCTCTAACTGGAAGGATGGCGAGATGGCAAATGTTGTTGTCCGAATTTGATATAGTCTACATGAACCAGAAATCAGTTAAAGGAAGTGCTATTGCAGATTTCCTGGCAAGCAGAGCATTAGAAGACTATGAGCCAGTAAAATTTGATTTTCCGAATGAGGACTTGATGAGTATATTTGTTACTGAAGAAGATACTCCGAAAAATGAAGCATGGAAAATGAACTTCGATGGCGCTTCTAATGCTGTGGGACATGGAATTGGGGCAATACTAGTTTCACCTGAGGGAGATCATTATCCTTTTACTAGTAGGCTCGCCTTTGAATGCACTAACAATATGGCAGAATATGAAGCATGTATCTTGGGTATTCAAGCTGCAATTGAGCACAAAGTTAAAAGCCTGGAAGTATTCGGCGATTCTGCTCTGGTTATTTATCAGCTTCGCGGGGAATGGATGACTCGAGACTCCAAGTTGATAGAATACAAGAACTTGGTGATGGAGTTGATCAAAGAGTTTGAAGAAATTTCTTTTACTTATCTTCCTCGTGAAGAAAATCAAATGGCAGATGCCTTGGCTACGTTGGCAGCTATGTTTAAGGCCGATGATCAATCTCGAATGATGCCTATTCGGATGAGTATAAGAGAAATGCCAGCTCATTGTTGCAACATAGAGGAAGAAGAGGATGATAGTCTCCCATGGTATTATGATATTCTCCAGTATGTGAAGTATCGGGCTTACCCAGCGGAGGCAACTGAGAATGATAAACGGACCTTAAGAAGATTAGCAATGGGGTATGTCCTTGATGGAGATATATTGTATAAAAAAGGCAAGGATCAGGTGCTTTTGAGATGTGTGGATAGAATTGAGGCCAAGAAAATACTTGAGGAAGTCCATGAAGGAGTTTGTGGAACACATGCTAATGGATTCACAATGGTTAGGAAAATCATGAGGTTTGGGTACTATTGGTCCACTATGGAAAGGGATTGTATCAGATTTGCTCGAAGATGTCATAAATGCCAGATTCATGATAACCAAATACATGTTCCTCCTTCACCACTCCATGTAATGAACGCACCTTGGCCATTTTCAATGTGGGGCATCGATGTCATTGGGGCAATTTCACCGAAGGCCTCAAATGGACATCGTTTTATCTTAGTGGCTATAGACTACTTCACCAAATGGGTTGAAGCTGCCTCTTATGCTAATGTCACAAAAGGAGCAGTATGCAGATTTCTAAAAAGAGAAATCATTTGTAGATATGGAACACCTGAAAGGATCATCACAGATAATGCATTGAATTTGAACAACGATTTAATGAAGGAAGTTTGCACAAAGTTAAAGATCAAACATCACAATTCGGCTCCTTATCGCCCAAAAATGAATGGGGCAGTAGAGGCAGCGAATAAAAACATCAAGAAGATCATCACAAAAGCAACTGAAACATATAGGGACTGGCATGAAAAATTACCTTTTGCGTTGCTTGCTTATCGCACGTCCGTTCGTACATCTACTGGGGTAACACCATTCTCTTTGGTATATGGGATGGAAGCAGTTTTACCTGTTGAGGTGGAAATACCTTCTTTGAGAGTATTGATGGAGTTGAAACTGGACGAGGCTGATTGGGTACAAAGTAGGTTTGATCAATTAAATTTGATTGAGGAGAAAAGGCTGAGAGCTATCTGCCATGGCCAAATGTACCAGAAAAGGATGATACGAGCATATGACAAGAAAGTCAGACCTCGAGAATTTCGTGAAGGCGATTTGGTACTAAAAAAGATCCTACCTATGCAAAAAGACTTTCGAGGGAAGTGGATGCCAAACTGGGAAGGTCCCTATGTTGTAAAAAAGGCATTCTCAGGAGGAGCTTTGGTGTTAACAGAAATGGATGGAGAAGATTTGCCTAATCCCGTGAATTCAGATTCGGTCAAACGATATTACACTTAAAAAAAAAGGGAATGAAAAAAATGAAAAATGAAAAAGAAGAAAAAATAAATAAAGGAGGGTTCAAGATGAAAACCCAAAATGGGCATCTTGAAACCAAAGGAGGATTCGAGTTGAAATGGCGGATTCCCTCGGAAGCTTGACAGTTCAGGGAAAGACTTTCATGCTCACACATCTTTTGTACGATCTGAATCTTCGAAACACATGTCAACTTTCAAGAAAGATTTGGAGTGAAGAAGTAAAAGGATTCATCATTTGATATTCACTATATTTGTCCATTGTTCTTCCTTTGTATATACTTGTTTTCTTGTCCCAAAAGATTGTACTTTCTCATTACTTATCTTCAGTGAAATTTTTGAATTTGATTCAATGTCCTCGCATATATTCACCAAATTACTAATCAATAACATCGGTTATTATGCCTTACTCTGAAAAGTGTCAGAGTATGGGGATTTTGAAACAGGTGTTCGCCAGAGAGCACATACAAAGACACGCTCCCATCAATCATTAAACAAATCATTGAGAAAAAAAGAGGGTTTAAATTAAAGAAATCAGTTTCAACATAATCATACTTTTCCCAAGCAAAGAAGTCCCAATTTAAAGGCATGCAACAAGGAAAGGCCATTCTGAATGAATTTTCTCTGAAAAAATCAATCAATGACCAAAGAATCGAAGAGGCAAGATAAACTCTCTCGGGGTAGATCAGAAGGACCCAAGTCAAAGAATATTTAATGAGAGGTCAAGGAAGTAACCAGGCATGGACAAACACATAAATATCGCATATTCCGGTCAAAGAGTATGAGAGATTCCCAATGCCAGGATCGAACTGAGCATAACCCTTTAAACATTCATTTAGATCATTCTTAGAGCATATTGACAGCACGAAATCATGTCATATGACCATTTTTTTAACAGGGTTTTCAAGATCTATTTCATTAGCAAAGCAATGAATCAGTCAACATCAGCTGACCAGATCTCCTCATCACGTAGGAGCAACGTCAACATTAGATAACCAGCCATCCTCATCGCGTAGGAACCAAGTTATCACCCTTCCTAAAGATGGCCAAGAACTCTTCATCACGCATGAGTCGTGTCATCCTTCGACCAGATTTCCTCATCACGTAGGAACCGTGTCACCCTTAGATAACCAGCCGTCCTCATCACGTAGGAACCGTGTTATCACCTTTAGATGGCCAAGAACTCTTCATCATGTATGAGTAATGTCATCCCCTGACCAGAACTCTTCATCACGTATGAGCCGTGTCAACCTCAGATAACCAGCCGTCCCCAGCAGAGTGGAACCATGTTATCATCTTTCCTAAAGATGGCCAAGATTCTCTTCATCGCGGATGAGCAGTGTCGTCTTCAACATCAAACATACCAGATCTCTTCATCACGAAGGAGCAGTGTCACCCTCAGACAATCTGACTTCCTCATCACAAAGGAACAACATCGTAATCGAAAACGACACGATCTAATCATCGCGGATGAGCAGTGTCGTCTTCAGCAACAAATTACCTCCAAAAAGAATGTGTCATCAATAAACAACGATTAATCGAAGAAATGAGAGCCGATCAAAGAAGAGCTTGAGACTTGTTGACAATCCAAAAATTGGTATTTTATGTCTTTGCTCTATTCCTGTTCTCACAGCAATGAGCAAAGAGGGGCAGCTGTAGTAACCAATTTTTGGTCCCTACATAGCTTCCATACATTGATGTCCCCCATGCACAACCCATGCCATGCTCCACAGCACCCCACGCCAACACCACACCTCACCCATGCCCTGCTACATTTACTGCAACATGTCAGCTCCCTTAAATCATGGCACCAAACACATCAACAAGAAGCAACATCAAATTTATATTAGTATTTGTAATGGGTATATAAAAGAACCCAACCAAACTATGTACAGGGAGGGGGAAAAATCGATTAAAAGAAAGCTGTAACAAGAACCCTTTTTTAGTAATCGAAAGCAGAACAGAAAATCAAAAAAAAAACAGATCGAAATCTTCAAGCAAGCAAAGGTATTCTAGCCCTTTTCTTTACATGCTTGTTTATCTGTTAAATTCATGCAATGTAACCAAATATAGTTTAGATTGTAATTTTGTTCTTTATTTTCATGTATTTATACGTTTAAAAATTAATTAAGATAGATAGAGAGTTAGGTTACCTTGTTTTGGTGTTCGTCGGGAAATTGGTGTCATCGGAGAGAGGGTGGCATGGTTTGTTGGTCGGAGCCACCGCGTAAGGTGTTGGTTCGTTGTTTAGTTCTCGATCGAGGGGGGTGGAGTGAGTTGAGATTAGGGGCTGTCTTAGTGGTGTTCCCATACCTTGTAGGTCTCGGTTGAAGTAGAGTGGCCACCCATTAGGGTGGCCGAGGTGGCGCGGGTTTTGGGACTTCAAGGTCCCCAACCGTGAGTGGAAGAGAAGCCAAGGAGATGTGTGTTGTGAGAGGAAGAAGATAAGCAGGGAATGTTAAAGTCTCGCATAAATTGAATCAGGGGAAAAGGAATTGTTTTTGTATCAATTTTGGTTTAATCACACATAGCGTCACTTATCTTCTTGCCATTCTTTATATTGGTCTATAAAAGTTTTAGTTTATTTATGTTTAAGCCACTTCATTATCTCATTTTTTAGATCAGTCACCAAATTTGTGCAGTTAATCACGCTTAGGCCCCTGTACATTTGAGCGTTTCTATAAACTGGTCATTGATTTGTTTGGGCAAAATTACGTTAAACCCCTAATACATTATCGTGTCTCACATTTTAGTTCCCCGGTTTCCTTTGTTCTGTTTATTTCATTTTTGGCACTTTAGTTTTATTATCTTTAATTTGGTCACTCGCTATATATATTATTTACTTGTTTTGATTTGTTCCGACTGTTGTTATTTTTTATTCTGGTCACCTCTTTATTAGTTTTGCTTATTATTTTCATGTTATGATTTATTTCACTTTGCCATATTTATGTTTGTATTTGTCTAGTATTATTTGTATGTAAATTACATATTGTATCAAAAATAAATTTATTTACTAAGTACTTTTAATGCTTGTACACACATGTATGTCATCGTTTCTAATCTTAGCCTATTTATTTATTGATTGGTTATTATTTATTCACTACTTAATTTCACTAGAATATTTTCAAGAACAACGATTTGTAGAATGGGTGTGGAAAGCATCGCTTGGTCGAAGTGATGCAATCCTATACGACGTTCAAACAGAATATGATATAAAAAAAAAAAAAACGCAAATTCTTCCTTTTACGAGCTTATAAAAATTATTTTTATTGTTATTCCTTTTTTTGTTATTTTATTTGATGTTCATATTGTTTAATATTTAAATTTTAATCTTTATTATTATTTCTTCATTAAATCTTAATATGAGTGATGTATGTTTTGGAAAAATAAAATATGATGCATTTTATGTCAATTTTTGATATTATTTTTTATTTAAAGAGAAAATATTCTTTACAAATAAGAAATAGACGAGGTAGCTTTCCCGACGGAGGATTGCAAATCTCGGGATTTCTTGTCGAGAAAAGGGTTTTTTTTCTTTTATTTTAACTAATATTCAACGAATAGATCTTAGTTGATATATCATTTTTATAATTCTTATTGTATTAATGATCTCTATGTTAATATTAACAATACATGTTTTAGATAAATTAAGTATAATTTATTTTATACTCTTGTCGATATTATTTGGTAGTAATTCAAAGATAGAATATACTTTATAGATGAGAAATAGATGAGATAGCTTTCCCGTTGGAGGATTGCAAATCTTGAGATTTCTTACCAAGTGAAGTATTTCTATTATTTTAACAAATATTCAATAAATAAATCATATTTTTACTTCTGATTCAAACTTTAAATTCTATCATTTACGACGATATATAAGCGACTAAGTACCGATTTTGGGCGTTGTGAGGGGTGTTTATCCTTCCCCACATGTAACCGACTCCCGAACCTGTTTTAAATGAATCTTTGGTAACGTAGATCAAATTTTTGTCTTATAAAACTATTTTTCTTAAAATTGTTTTAAAAGACGTTTTTAGGTATTCGACCTACCTAACCCAAAGGTCGATGGCGACTCATTTTCAATTTAATTTTAATTAATCCATAATCACCAATTTTTTTTATTAAAGTCATAATCGTTTTTAAAATAATATTTAATTGTTTTATCTAAAAATGGTTATGACAGAGCCGTTGTAGCAGAGTCGGTTGAGACAATTGGCGACGAATGAGTGAGAGTTGCATGTGAAGAGGTTGTAGCTCTTGTGCTCAAAGTAGCGCACACTCGACCGCAACGCATCGTCCCATGTGATCGCTGTCCCGTACTCGGAATGCTGGTAACCTTGCTTGCATGTGTGCCCGGACATGTTCAGAGGAAAGCAACACTGATTCAACAATAAAAGTAGTTAATGACAAAAATTAACTCACAAAACAATCTGTCTTTGTGTGCATCAAGAGACGTAAAAAAGGTTTGACTCGTGTCTGCATAAAACTATACCTTTTCTCTATCAAGTTGAACATATCGAGCTGTGACACCGAAAGAGAATTCATCAACATTCACAAAATTCGATCCTGAAAAGTCGAGAATAGCTCCATCCTCCCTGCAAATGCCAAGATGTCCAATGAAGGGTGCCAACCATGAGACAACAGGGAGAGGAGTCCAAACTAGACAGCAAGGGAACTTTGCATTCCTTGAATCAATTTCATCTAATGGCCACAGTTCATGCTGAATTTTAGAAGTAGAACTCATAAGTTCAACATCATAAGCTTGTTTTAAATCCATTATAGGAAGTCTTCCTCGTGACATACGGATCGTTGAAGTTCTCGATGATGAACTATCACTAATTCACTATTTCAAGTGGCACTCTCAGAAGATGATGGCAACAATCTACTCATACAGATGATAGTATCATTCTACAAAAAGAACCAATGTTACCTTAGAAAGAAGGTCAAAATTAGATATATATGACTATCTCCGAATACATGGAAAAAGCTTTTAATCGAACCCGTTGTTGACGCATATCCAACTCCGGATAACGGGCGCTGAATAACATAGAATCTAAGCATACATATCGAATCTTCGTGTAAACTTACAGTCCATCAATAACCGAAAAACAATCTATAGCCTAAATGAAAATTCATTCAATTCCTAAATTCTGAAATCCTTTCTTTAAAATGATCACCTGGGTTCTGGGAAAATATCAAAGAGCAGAAAGGGGTAAAAACAAACATATCAATATCTACAATTATCCAAATAATATAATCTACTTCATAGCATGCATTCAATTTTCAGTGCATCAGATCCCGTTCCATCAGCCAAAATAATCATATTTAAACACTAAACTGCTCCATTATTATTACAGCAAAATATAGCTTTCTTACTACCACATTCTCTACCTAACATTCATGAATTCAAACTACTCGAAAACACTAATCTAAGTTCAATTCCCATATGTTCAGATTAACTTTTCAGCCCAAACAAGCAAGACCCAGAAAAAAGGAATCATAATGCATTAAAACAAAACAAAATCTTTAAATCTACGTAATGCATATTCAATCTAGAAAAAGAACAGATCGAAACATAAGGGGGAAACTGGAAAATTTGGAGAAATGATGAAAGCTGAGAGTTTCACTAACCTAAAGCTTATTGCTTTGACACAAAAACAAAAACAAAACGGAAAGTTGAACAAAAGGAAATGATAAATGAAGGGAATTCCTTGAGGGATTTGATTGCTGTTGGTGTAGTTCAATTTGGAGAAGCAAGCAAATAAGTGGTTTATATATTGTGAGAGAACTAGAAGAAAATAAATTAGGGGAAAAATCAAAAGAAAAGTAAATAAATAAACAACATTATTACTGAAATACGTTTGCTTGAATTGGAAATGAAAGAAGGTGCATGAACCTGAAGCGTTTCCAGATTTTTTATTACCTGGGGAGGGTGGGACCTCTCACCATCCCTTCACAGTGGCCCCCGGCCCCACGAATGGTTTAATTCACAAATTCTCTGTTTATGCTCAAAAGCCGCCGTTTATAGAAATTTTAAAACTTATATTTCGTGTCTAAAATAAATTATAACACATTATTTTTTAAAAATATTTTTGTTTAAAACACTCTAATTTGAAATTAGCCGCAAATAAAATTAAAATATATCATACAAAATAATTAAATATTTTTTATGATAATATATTATTATTTAATTTACTAATGTTTATATCATTAATAGATTAAATATATATCTTTTGAAAAAATTTGTTGGTTAACTTCTTCCTAGCAGTTTTATATGGAAGTTTTTCCTCGACTCTGAGTGCAAGTTTCTCCCTTATATTTCTGGGTCTTGTTGTTCGTAGTGGTGGTTATCTTTTGTTTTCTTTGTAATGGTTGACAATCTTTTAAATGAATGGCAGAATCTCACATTGACTAAGGCAGAGGCGACGGTTATTGAAGCTCCGATGTGCCCTCTGCCGGATGAGTCTGATTCATCACATTGGTTTGTCATGCGTCTCCTTTCTAAATGTCCAATGAACCGTGACGCGATGATACAAACACTTGTCACTGTATGCAAGTTGCCTAGGTCTATTTCTATTGTTCCTTAGGATGATAATATTTCTGTGATCAAGTTTCGTTCCGATCATGAAAGGCTAAGGGTCGAGGAAGACCGTCCATGGTCTTTCGACAAACACTTGGTCCTCTTTGCCCTGTCTAATGCCAACTTGCGCCCTGGCGACTATAGTTTTTCTGTGGTTTCGGTCTGGGTCCAGGTCTATGGTCTCCCTTTGGCATGCTGTAACCTCCCTTTTACACTATCTATTGGAGCAAGTTTGAGAACTATATTATCGATTAACGAAGCGCTTTTGGGGGTTGGTTGGGGGCAATTTATTAGAATCCGGATTGAGATTGAGGTCTCACGGCCGCTGCTTCGGTTTATCACTTGTGGTCCTGATAGTTGGGTTTTGAAAAAATGCTCCGTTATGAACGAATTCCTGATTTTTGTTACACTTGTGGTGTGCTTGGACATATAGAATTGGCTTGTGACACGCCAACATCTACAACGGTTTATTCAAACTATCTATCATGGGGAATGGCTACGGGTATTGCCCATGAAACGGGCATTGTCCAAAAAATGCGAGCAATGGCGTTGTGATCAGGTTTTGCCTGTTCCACGTCCTGTGACATTAGAGGTTGTTCCATCCGGTACTCTTGAGCGGGGAGAAGCATATGTGTCGGCCAAATCTGTGAATCTTCCCTTATCAATCTTTATGAAGTGAAAATTCGTTTCTTTTTCGCCTCGTTCTTCTGGGATCCGTAAATTTAAGTCTACCCTCCCCTCATCTACTCTGACTGACTCGGCGGGTGACTGGTTCTAAGTCTTGCCCGACATTATGAGGCTATTAGTTTGAAATACCACGGGCTTGGGAACCCACGGTCAGTTCGGTGTCTTTTGCGCCTCATCAATGATAAAAATCCTCATGTTGTTTTGCTGATTGAGACGAAACCACATGAATCAAACATTCGCGATCTACGTTACTTATTACGGATGCAGCATTATTTTGGTGTTAGTGCTGATGGTTCTCGAGGTGGTTTGACAATGTTTTGGCTGAGTGGTTTGGACTTATCTCTTTAGTCGTACTCATCCCACCACTATGGCTGTAAAATCAGGTAATCGATCAGGTTTCAGTCAGATTCTGACAGGTCGCGTAAAATCGGATACAAGTCAAGTCAGATCAATTTGATGGTTTGACTCGGATAAAGTCGAGTACATGTCAAATCAGTTCGGTTCATTTTCAAGTTGATTTGATACCATATCCAGATCGGGTTCAGGTCGAGTCATTTTTAGTTCGGATCGATGTCAATTCAAGTCAAAATAGTTCAGGTTCGAAGCAGATAAAGACCAGGTTAATTCAGGTTTGGGTGGACTTCAGTCGGATCTCGTTCAGATCGAGTCATATCATTGACAGATAAAATTCAGGTCGGATGTTTACCTGATACGGATTGAGTTTAGGTTGGGTTCGTTTTTATTTTTGGATTAATTATTGTCATCTTTCGTGATTGTTGAATTGCAAGTTGTGATTGTATATGATTTCAAGTAAATTAAAAAAAATAATAATCATTGATCAATTTTGTAAAAAATATAAATTTTAGGACTGAATTGAAGAAATGTAAAATTAGAAATAAAATTTTAAATAAATTAAACAACACACATAGGTAAGGGACCAAATTGAAATAAATTTAAAATGTGAGGTTTAAATTAAAATAAAAAATGACTAAATTATACCCATTTAAAAAGTTATGGGCCAGTTACAGAAATATAAATAATAAATAACAATGGGCCAAATTAAGATGCAAATATAAATTTAGGGACTAAATTGAATACATATAAAAGTGAAAGACTTACAATTGAAATAAATTAAAAAAACAAAAGGATGAAATCGAAATAAATGAAAAATGTGAAGAAATAATGAAAAATAGAGTAAATTGCATTCATTTAAAAAATTGAAAAAAATGAAACACTTATTATATATATATATATATATATATATATATATATATATATATATATATATAAAGAAAAATATATAATATATGTAGTTTATATGTAGTTTACACCTAGTTTATTAATAAATTATGTAATTTATATATATAAATATATAAGATTCATGCCTATATTTTATATATATAGTATATTAAGTACATATATTACTATATAAATAGTTTATATAAACTATATATATAAACTATATAAAGTATATAGTTTATAAAATATAATTTATATTAATATACTATATTTATGTATAAACTATATATAGTTATTATAAACTATATATATATATATATATATATGTAATTTATAGTTTATAAAAAATAGTTTATATATAATTTATATAAACTATATATATAACCTATAGTCTATAAACAATAGTTGATATATAATTTATATAAACTATATATATATATATATAGACACAGTTGATAATCGATATATAGTTTATATAAATAATAGTTTATATAAATTATATATGTAACTTTAACCTATAGTCTATAAACAATAGTTAATATATGTAACCTATAGTATATGTATACATGTAAACTATATATGTAACTTATAGTACATGTATGTATAAAATATGTATAGTATATATAAATTATATATATAAACTATATAAAGTATATAGTTTATAAAATATAATTTATATTAATATACTATATTTATGTATAAACTATATAGTTATTATAAACTATATATATATATATATATATATATGTAATTTATAGTTTATATATAATTTATATAAACTATATATATAACCTATAGTCTATAAACAATAGTTGATATATAATTTATATAAACTATATATATATAGACACAATTGATAATCGATATATAGTTTATATAAATTATATATGTAACTTTAACCTATAGTCTATAAACAATAGTTAATATATGTAACCTATAGTATATGTATACATGTAAACTATATATGTAACTTATAGTACATGTATGTATAAACTATGTATAGTATATATAAACTATATATATATAACCTATAAGATATGTATATATATAATCTATTTATTTGTAAACTATATATGTAACCTATAGAATATGTATTATGTGTATATGTAACCTATAGAATATATATTATGTATATATACAATCTATATATAGTTTATATAAACTATACATGTAACCTATAGTTTATAAACAATAGTTTATATTAGTGTACTATATAGTTCATAACCTATAGTTTATATTAATGTACTATATAGTTTATATTAATGTTAATTTTCTTAACTATAATTTATATTAATATAGTATATAGTTTATAAACTATAATTTGTATTAATGTAGTAGATAGTTTATAAACTATAGTTTACATTAATATTAACATATTAACTATAGTTTAAATTAATATAATATATAGTATTAATATTAATTAGTCTATAAAACATGTACTATATTAATATTAATTATATTAACTATATTTTATAAACTATACTATATAATTTATAAAATATAGTTTATATTAATATTAATTTTATAAACTATATTTTATATTAATAATAATTAAAAATTATAAACTACATTATATTCATATAGGTTAATATTAATATTAATTATAATATATAGTTTATATTAATATTAATTATAAATGATAGTTTATATTAACTCTATTAATTAAATAATTAAATAATATAAATTATAGTTTATTAATATAAATTATACATGGATGAAATTGAAAGAATTTAAAATATAATGATTAAATTGAATCGTTAAAGTTGGACTAAATTGAATAAAATCAAAATAAGGGGATAACGCTACAATGCCAAATGAAGTTAAAAAACACGCGGATCTTGAACCCGACCCGAACGGAGCGTAATATATAAGGTAAATGTTTTTTTTTGTTTTTTCCCTCATTTTCTCCTTTTCGATTAATTCTCCCATTTTGCTCTCTCTCTAACTCTCCGATTCTCTCAAAATTCTCTGCTTTCTCTCTAGTAATTCATCCGTGTTCTTCATTGTTCTTTGAAAAAACCTTCATTTGATCTTCAAAAACACCAAATCCCAAATATTTTTCTATTTTTTTGATCAAACACACGAAAATTCTTAACTCGTTCATCCGAGTTCATACCAAAACCCTCATTTGATCTTCATAAACACCAAAACCCATATGATTTATTCTTTTTCAATTAAACACCCAAAATTTTCTCCCCTGTTCATCC